TATAGTTTTGAGCTGTTCTGCAGAGGAAACCCCGCACAGTCATGAAAAGCAGTGAAATAAATATCACTTATTACTGACAACAAGGAAACAGTGCCTGTTTTGTGGACCCGAGACCGTCGATGTTTCTCGAGGCGAAGACAGCCTAATTTTATCACTCTCAGGTGATGTGCTCTCAACCAATAAAACACTAGAAAAATGCGACTTTGACTATTGATATACTAGAAATACATGCATGCAATAAACCCTCGCTTGTTTTCAAACGATGTATACTCAGTGCTGTTGCGAGCACTTCGTCTCAGGGGGGGTGTGAGGTTAGATAGAGGGGGGGGGTGGTTACCAAAATATTTCCAGATGTACAAAAAATTTTCAGGACATATAATAATTTTTCCGAAAATACAGTTGTTTTCCAAATTCACTTTCTCATGTCCTGAGAATTACCTGAATTCCCCTGAAAATCTTCTGCAAATCTATTTAAATTTACCTAAAAGTGCACTGGAAATCTACCTGAAATTCCTCATGAGCAATTATCAGGGGTGTTGCCCCCCCCCCAGTGAGTTTCAAGCAAACACTCTCTGATTTATTGTTCATGTATTTCACCTCCCAAAATATTGTGCATCATACTTTAGAGCATTTTGCTGTTGTCATGCTCTAGCGTGGTTCAAATTTATGAATTTTTATTATATAAAGTATAGTGTTTTATAGAGATTTCGAGCACTGATAAAAATGATAATCTCACATGTGAAATTATTCATGATAATCTCACATGTGAAAATTATCGCCTTTTCAATTATCGCTTTTCTGTAAAAATTATCGCTTTTCAAAGATGGTCCTTTATATAATAAACAGAAAAATACATGGGTGTTTGGAATTACCAGATTTATTTTTCGTGTTGAACATGACATCTCACTCGTTCGCAGCGCTCACTTGTTCGCCGCGCACTCATGTTCAACACTCGAAATAAATCTGGTATTTCGTGCACCCATGTATTATTCTCTATTTAAACTACAACTTGACTGGTTTAAATTATTATCAAGTTATCAGTGATTGTAAAAGTTGCAGATAGAAGTGTTTTGTTTTATATTATTATCAAGTTATCAGTGATCGCAAAACCTCCAAATCCTTAATTTCAAATGTTAGAATATTAGGGATTGTAATCCAAGTGAGAGTATATACATTTTAAGACCTAACCAGGAACGACTGCGAAAAATGCAGCACAAGAGCCTCTGGTAGGAATTGAACCTACGGCCCTGCGATTCCGGTGCAGCGCTCTAACCAATTGAGCTACATAGGCCAGCTGTTGAGCTTTAACCATAAGTTCATGTATATTTAGGTAATCGGGTGTGCGGGTTATGTTTAGGCGGGCCTCAATAATTTGGATTCTTGCACTTCACTTGGTGGAATTAATATTAGAATGTTAGGGTTTGTAATCCAAGTGAGAATATATACATTTTAAGACCTAACCAGGAACGACTGCGAAAAATGCAGCACAAGGTCCTCTGGTAGGAATTGAACCTACGGCCCTGCCATTCCGGTACAGCGCTCTAACCAACTGAGCTACAGAGGCCAGCTGTTGAGCTTTAACCGTAAGATTATGTATATTTAGGTAATCGGATATGCGGGTTGTGATAATGTGGACTTCAATAATTTGGATTCTTGAACTTCACTTGGTGGAATTAATATTAGAATGTTAGGGTTTGTAATCCAAGTGAGAATATATACATTTGTATATTCTCACTTGGATTGCAAACTATTCTCATTTGGATTACAAAATATAGACACAAAATATATACATGTACTATACATTTGTATATTCTCACTTGGATTACAAAATATATACATATATATATATATATATTCTCACTTGGATTACAAGCCCTAACTTTGTAATATTAATTCCATCAAGTGAAGTGCAAGAATCCAAATTATTAATTTTAAATGCCCCGCCGGAGCTAAGGTTCGAGTGGAAATGCCCAACCCCCGGGATGTGCTTCACAGGAAAACAACTGTGCGAGGGGGATGGGCACACTTGGATTTGGCTGATGCATTAAAAGTCATGGAAAAAGAAAAAACTTTTCATATTACTTGCTAGAAGTAGAAATTTACTCTGAACACTGGATGAAGAAGGAATTAAATAAGTACTGGTCAACAGACAGAAATGTATTTTATTTCATAGTATTACAATTTTATTTTTATAAAATATAAACATGCAGCATAGAATATGCATATTCGAGGCAAAATTATTGTTGAATCGGTTTAATTATAGGATTTTATAACAAATAGCAACAATAAAAGTTTATACTTTGTCTTCACATCGCTTTATTCTGTTAGCCAATGCTTTGAAATTTACATATTTTAGAATCAGTTCCTTTCCTCGTAACTGCATTTCTATATGAAATCATCGTGAGTAGTGAGTGCTGAGCAGGCCGTTTTACTATAAACAAATTTTAGGAATTGATAACAACTTTGAAAAAGATATCGTTGCACATTCGGTCACAGTCGGAAAAATGTTCATAGTATGTTGTACCGTCGCTTGCAACTAACGATGAACAGTCGCTCATAGAAACATTCGCGTGATTAGAATCTTCAATGTTTGTCAAGAACAACAACACTTAATTGTTGTTTCCTATGTTTACAATAATAAGTAACAAAACTTTGTGTGGTCTGAACGTGTTGGGCTAGAGATCTACTGGAAACTTTTACAGGTTTTTAATGAGAATGTTTTATCTGCAACTGTTCACCCTTAGTTGCAACCGACTGTATTTGACAGCATAAAATTGCATGTGGCTGTGATAACTGATATAAATAAAATACAGTCTGATTATACTGACTTGAGCGTGTCATGACAAACTCTTTATTGGAAAATTGTGAAGAAATAGTCGCATATAGAGGGACGAATATCATGCTTCAACTTGTTACTTGTAGGCTATAGCTAGAGTATCATTGGTACATAGCGTTGTGAAGACAAGCCTTTTCTTACCTTTCGCTTCAGCAGTCTTTTTTTTCCATGCTTCTCTACGCTTTCTCAGGCGAGCTTCTCTTTCCTCAGCAGTCTCCTCGAGCAAACGTTGTCGTCTTCGCTCCCTCCTTTTCGCTAGACGTTCGGCTTTCTTGTCGTTTCCTTGCCGCTCTTCGTTTGGCTCCATATCTTGACTATCTTTTCATTTGGTATTTGATACCGTAATTGTTTTATTAAACTTTTTATAGAACAAATTGCTTTGAAAGCTGTCAAAAGTTTTTTGCAAACGTGCAAAGTACTGTAGTGCAAAAATCAAATTATTTTCATGAAGTATCTGTCAGTTGAAGTCGTCATTTGTCATACAACAACAATTTTAATTTTGACCAATCAGTGTTCGCTATCCATGACAGTCCGCCATATTTTTGAGATCAGTGAGGATGATCACCCACTCAAGTTCGTTGGTCACGCCCGCGATATTTGATGAACTTTAGACCTGGCTAATGCTTTCGTTTCCCCGGGTGAAAATAGCCGGGGGGAATTAGTACACTCGCACGGCGCTTCGCGCCGCCGGCTCTGGGGATAATAATTTATCTTATTTACGAGTGATGCGAAATGTGTTGGAAGTTGCAACTCCGGAAAATAATGTGACTTCTCTGTTGCATAAAATCGAGTAAACATACTGAGGGCTTGTCACAGTCTGTGGCGTAACTAGCCCCACCGAAGTTTTTGATCAGTGTAATTACGGTTTGTCAATATCATTATAAATGATGTACTTGATTGTAAAACGGTTTGTTTATATCAATATAGAGGCCATACCAGTGGCCTTAAAAATTTCAAACTAGGTTTGTTTATTTGTCCGCCATTCGCGCTCCGTCGCAAAGGCTCAAATACTATGTTGTGTTTATCAGTTGATTTGATTGCAGCATGAACCAGCTTAAAGTCGACGTGTATAAGTAAATCCATCGGCGTAGCCGTCTTTGATCTAAAACAATAACAACGCGAGTTGTTTTTCTCCAACCTAACATGATTTTCTCACCAAAATTTGACTTGATATTGCTGGTCTAGCCTATTCATATTCATATTAGGTAGATAAATGCCACTAGTGCAACGTGACAAATGGCAGAGAACGAGTAAGCAGTCGTGTAACATAACACTTGCCCGGGGCAAGTGAATATCATGACGGCAAGTATACGCAAACACAAAAAGGAGGGCTTCTTTAAGTTTATGTTTTCATTGTCGGATAATTTTTTTTACAGTGCATGTACTTGATTTCAATTTTTTTTTAGTGCGCCAAACTAAATCTATGGCAGTACATAATAGCCATATAGAGCAGTGGAAGAACGGGTCGACACGTTGGTCCCCTAAATTTATACCCCCTATACCAGTAGATACCCAGGTGGCCATTGTCTGATGGCAAGCGAATTTTATTAAGGGCGACTAATTTTCATGTCAAACTTGCCCGGAGGGCAAGCGGTCCAAAAAGTAATGTTACACCACTGAGTAAGCTATGAGTCAGCCAGTTGCTTCGGGAAGAGCTGGCGAGATTGAAGGAGAACAATAGGGAGGAAGAAGTACGTAAAGTTCTGCCCAAGTACATGGCCCTTTGATAACATAGACTTGTGAGGACTCCCCCAGCCCCTGTTTTGGCCCGTCTAATGAACTATGTTGCCCTCCCTGTAAAGGTCCCTTCTGTCTAAAATATAACCAAAAAAGGGAAGAATAACATAGTTAAAAATAGTATTTTATTATTCCTGTGACCAAAACTTTGTCCAGCGGATGAAATATATAAAAAAATTGTGTCTAAAATTGCCAATAATCAAGTCCCAGACATTTAAAAATACAAAATTTTTCATATAGTATGTAATACACTATTCTCGAACCCAGAGACCCCCGCCCCGCTCATGACTCATGCGTAAAAGGAAAATTTGAAGTAATAACTAACAAACAAATCTTGCTGTTATTTAGTCAAATCAGCATTTGGAAAACCAGTTAATTAAAGCTTTTTGGCGCGATGTCCGAGATACCTTTTTCCTGTGCTACGCAGATCGTAGGCTGCCGCTGTAGTGCCGAAAATGTTTAATGTTTCTCTAATGTTAATTGTTTCTCTAACGTTAATCACCGAAATGTTTCTCTAACGTTAATCACCACTCATACTTATAATCTGAGGTCTTATCCCAACTTATTAGTACCTAGGTGTAGAACTGAACGTTTTTCGAACAGTTTCATTCCTGCTGCGTGTCGTGCTTATAATAACAAGTAAACTTTAGATTATTATCGTTATTTTTATCTAACTTACCTATTTTTACCTGTAAATATAGAATAGATTGAATACCTATGTTCTTATACCCTGTAATTCCAAAGTAATTCAGTTGTTACTGCTAGTTTGGAAATTTATAATAATAATAATAATAATAATAATAATAAAAATATTTCAACTAGTCAAAACTATAAACTTGCGTGTCAACTTCGTTGATTCTTACGTAGACGGCAAATATTTGGATATCTAGCTTTCAGCGAGTAAACGGTTGTAGTTGTAGTTGTGATGTACATTATGTTAAAATTTATTATGCAAGATTTTTTTGCAATCGTTTATAGAATTTATCCTATTCAATTTTTTTACCTTTTCAGAATTTTTTCAGATTTTCCATTCCCCATTAGTAGGATCTGGATTTTCGACATTTTGTGACGCGAATTTGCTTGGGAATTGCTATAACCTTAGGATTTATTAGTAATAACGTAATATCCTTATTTCCTTGCTGAAAACAAAATTCCTTGCCGTTTCCTGGTAAATTTTATTTCTTTTTCAAATAAATTTCTTTGCAAGTGGAAGCACTGCATGGAATGACCAGTTGGGATAACGCAATAGTTGAGGACTCCCCCTTTTCTCACCCACCGCCCTCCCCCCTTCAATATTAATGATTGTTCCCTTATCTGTGTAAATGTAAAATATGGTTCTATTTTATTTCATTTTGCTAATTAGGAAAATTCAGTATGTTTTAATTTAAATAGACTATATTTTTTACATATTTGCAAATTGTAAATTTTATTCTGTTTTGCGTATTCTAAAAAATAAATAGCCTTAAAATACTATATAGATATCATACCTATTTTAATTTAAGTAATTTTTTGCACGTGCATAATATGTTTACAATAGTCTATTTTATTGTTATTTTGCAAGCTAGGAAAGAAAGATAGGATTAAAACAGTATATTTTATCCCTGTTTGAAATTTGTGCGTTTACCTTGCAAAGTGTATAATTGGATTTAAACACCCTATTTTATTTAATGAGTTTAATTAAAAATAGTATATTTTATACCTACTTTAATTCCTAGCTGCTTTCTAGTGAAGCAAAATAGAATTTAAATAGGCTATTCTAAACCTGTTTTTTCGCTGAGGCTCTGGAAAATAGTATTAAAATATGCGATTTTATTTCTATTATCTATAAAAAATAGGAATAAAAAAAGTAAAAAAATAATAAAATATGGCTCTTTCTTTTGGTGATATATTATGATAGAATTAAAATAGGGTTGCTTCTGAATAAAATAGCATAAAAATATGGATGATAGTAATAAAATAGTTTTAAAATAGCAATATAATATAGTTATTTTCGCAAGGGTAATGACCACATTTGTTTGGATATTTCAATATGCTTATTACCTAACTGGAATTGTATTTTATAAACATTTGAACTGGCATTTTATATTTTATATTAATTATTGTAAATATATGATCTAGGGAGTAGGAGCCTTAAATAATAGCCATGTGGTTTCTGTTAGGTCCCTAGCCAGCTAGCCCCAATTCTTGTAAGTAACTGTGGCAATTGTGTTTTGACGTTAAAACCAATAACGTAAGTAATTGTGTTTTGACGTTAAAACCAATCTTACATACGTTCACAAAGGCGGGAAGTATATGATCCTAAACTAGATTTCACGTTTAAACAGTATAAAACACCATTCACGAGGATAGATGTTAACATGGCACAGTATTTCTGGCAATGAAACGCTCGAACTGACCATCTGACCATTTCATACGAACTTTTATCGATGAATAATTTTGCGAGTTTTCATCCAATTCAATCATATATTTGCTCAAAATCTTCGCCAAAATCTTTACCATAAAGCTTGACCGAATAAGTTTCGCCGGAAACAATGTGACAGCAAAAACTGCTAAAGTCTTGATTTCTGTAATAGAATGTATAGTCTTTTTGCCCTGTTGTACCGCCATCATGGATTTATCATGTAGGCCCCGCCTGCGCTAGGTATGCGTTAGCAATCTAGAATGGGTTTACACCTATGGCTTACACAAAAAATCAAATTGAAAACTGTATGGCATCCGGCGGATGGGATTTTAGCTTTGTCTCCATTTGGCGCCAATTTTCAGCTTTTGAAATAAACATTCTCATTGCATTTATTTTTGTACTTACAAACTTGTAACTATAGCAATCGTTTTGATGTACTGATGGTTTTTCCCGAGTTAAAATAAATTTATGTATGTATATGTTGCATAAATTTATGTATGTATAAATTGAATTATTTTAACTTCAGTAGTGTTCTTCATCCTCGTTCCCAGGGCCTCTCGGATGGTTGTACTTCCGATGAAAAGGACTTGAGTTTTAAAGTTTCGAGCGTTCAGTATATATAAACAAACTGACAATCACTTTCAGAAGTTGTGGAGACACATGTAGTTTTAGCTTGTAAGTGGATCATTATAGTTTTTTACACACAATATACACTTGTCCTTGTCATGGTCTGATGAATTTCAACGCTATGCGTTGTTACTTGCTGGACAGCAATGTATCGATCAGAGATTTATTCATACAACTAAACCAACGTTTCAATAATTGCAAACTTGCTTCAAAATCGAAAGGTATCGAACAATGAAACTTTACAATGCGAGTATATTTGTAAAATTATGTGCAAGAATTTCTGTTCAGAATTTCCCGTGCAGGATTGTCTGATTCTGCACGGCTTTTGACCAATCAAATTGCGTGTTTCACTGTAGTTATTATACAAACTGTTTTGATATCTCTATGCTAAAGCAACTCTGACTATTATACCGGCCCTTGTCTGTCCGTGTCTCAATTATGGAATTATGAACTGGGGGAATACATATACATCAAAGATGAACAAGATAAGAACAAAACAAAATAAGGTTATCAGAAGTGTATTTTTTGCTCATTCTAGGAAAAATGTATCTTCTTATTTTAAACTTCTTGGAATTCTGAAATTCGGTAATATATTCAAATTAAGAATTGCTGAGTTTATCTATAAACTTATAAATACGAGAACAAATGTTCCAAGAGCATTTTCTCATCCTTTGTTCTACAAGCTGCTAATCAACATACCTATAACACAAGATATGCTACTAAGATGAATTTTGTAAGACCAAAAGTAAGGACTAATTATGGAGTTCATATTTTCAAATTCATTTCCTCAAAAATATGGGAAACTGTAATTGATATCGATATTAAAATATTATCTTCATTAATACTCTTCAAAAAAAGCTATACGAATTATTATTACATAATCAGAATTATTACTCCTATATATATATATATATATATATATGTAATTAATGAAATTTAGTTGCAAATACTTAACATAATTGAATTATATATATCGTTTAATGTTTCAGAGGCCGGCTCGAACGCCATGCTACTTCGGTCTCTGTACACTTCCTTTCTATGTATTAGTGTTTAATTCTATAGGTATATTTTCTATCTATCTGTAAATCAATTTGTATATCTTGTATTTGTATTATCTTGAAATTGTGTGAAAATAAATGTTATCAAGTCATCCTCAGAGGCTTTAGTTCCATGATTAAATGCCGGTTTTTGGCGATGTACCGGGTGGCCCAAAAAAAAGTACTCCTGTTTGATTCGTAATAACATCTAAACAAGTATAGCTTTTAAAGAGAAATAAATAACTTGCATCAAATAGAGGAAGGACTAACTTAGACTTTGATATATTACAGTTGTATTTCACTTAAAAATTCACGGAGATATTAATCTTTAAATTCGGGAGGATATTTCTGGATGTGTCTGAAATATGCAAAAATCGGCGTATCAAATATTAATCAAGATTTGCCCGACTGAAACATGCACTATTACCAGTAAATAAATGACACTTGACAAATTGTTTATTATGAAACAAAGTATTATTATATCTATTAATCCTGCTCTAACCGAGAAATAATCAACTTTGTTTTGAACCCATGAAAAACATAAAAATAGGTTATTTTAAGAAAAATTGAAGCGCCTGCCTTGCATGGTCTTTCAGTACCTTAAGTTTGCAAAGACCTATTAAATACTTACATAATTTCGAACGTTCATATTTCAGGAAACAATAAGTTAAGACTTACATGTAAGATGTCTAAATCTACGCCATATCCCTTACAAACCCTAACTACAATTCGCTGAAATACAATTTACCCTGATATGTCATTAAGCAAACAAACGCTGGAGTGAAAATTTGATACGCCGATTTTCGCTAATTTTAGACACATCCCAAAATATGCTCCCGATTTTGAACATTAATATCTCCGTGAATTTTTAAGTAAAATACAACTGTAACATATCAAAATCTAAGTTAGTCCTTCCTCTATTTAATGCAAGTTATTTCTGTTTGATAGCTTTACTTGTTTAGAAGTTATTATAAATCAAACAGGAGTACTTTTTTTTGGGCCACCCGGTATATGAACAGACTTCTTATATAAGAATAATGACCAATATCTAGATTTATCTATAACAGTATATTTGCGCACAAAAATGCAACGCACCTTTAGATAAACTTCCTGTCATTTTCATGAAGTCAAGACCACGTGTTTATATCATGATTGACTGATTCAGAGCTCTTCGCATGTGTGAAAAAGCTAGGACTGAGCTTTAAATTTGACTTCAAATTTTATGGTTGGCGGTGGCATTCCAGTTAAATTCATTTCAATGGTTTGAATTCATATTAAATTAAGTTCTACTTGGGCCTTTTTTGCAATAATCGTCTTTTACGCATGATTTATCACACGCATGACTTGTTTCATGCATGGTTGATGTCATGTACAGGGGCGTAGGAAGCGAGGCACGGGGCACGTGCCCCCCCCAATTTTAAAGGACTAAAAGTGCCCTTTTTTGTGATAAAAAGTGCCCTTTTTGTGTTGAAAAGTGCCCTTTTTTGTGAGGAAAAGTGCCCCGTTTGTAGAAGCTAATGTCGCTGTAAATACTAAATTAAAACAATAGGTGCCGTTTTTGTGTGGAAATTTACAAATTTTTTTTAAAAATTAGGTCACAAACATAAATTTCGGTATGATACGACGGAAAACATTTCCGGGAAAATTTTTTTAGGTGCCCTGTCCGATAGTAATGTGCCCCTACAAGCCGGTGCCCAAAACTCCAGGTGCTTCCTACGCCCCTGGTCATGTATGATTGGTATCTTACATACTCTTTACACAAGTTAAGAAAAAGTGTCTCAGTAAGTTTCAGACTTATTAAATATTCCGAAGAACTTGCATTGTAGCGAAGATTTTCGAACTGTGCAATTATTTTTAATACACACTGTATAAATAATAATTTACGAACTAGACACTATTTAGAAATGATATGCAATCCACAATAATTAAGTATTTTCTTCTTGGCAGATTACATAGGACTAGATTCAAAACATGAGAAGCAGAATGAACATTGTGAGCCTGAAAATTCCAAGAACCTAACGAATGAGACAGAACGAGTAATTGATATAGAAAGTCAAGACCGAGGACTTGATCCAGAAATAGAACAGGTGGAACGCCCTAAGGAAGAGAATATTGATGAGACTAGCAAAGTACAACCCGTTAAAGATGAGGATATTGATGTGACTACCAATAAGCTACGCTTTCAGAAAGACAATGTTGATATGACTACCAAAATTGAAGATTTTCAAAATATGAATAATATTGGCCTGACTTCCGAAAATCAATGGCTTCAAGAAGGTAATGTTCATGTGACTACCGACATTAATCAAGAAGAGTATATTAATCTTCATAACGAAATAGAACGGCTTAAAGAAGAAAATTTTAATCTGAATGGCAAAATGCAAAGCCATCTAGATGAAAACAATTACTTAAAGAGAGAGAACAGCAACTTGGAAACAATCAATAAGCTCCTAGAAGAAGATAACAGTATATTTCATCAAATGAACATACAGCCGATGTTAGGTATACAGCTTCGTAGACTACAATTCTTCGAGATGGATCGACTACAACAAGAAAACAGCAACTTGGAGAATCAAATTCAGGAAGTGTGACAAGAAAAGGATAACAAAATAAACGAAAATCAGCAACTTCAACAACAGAAAAGTGAATTGGACAACACAAATCAGCAGCTCCAGCAAGAGAAAAGTCAGTTGGACGACGAGAATCAACAGCTCCGACAAGAGAAAAATCGGATAATTAACGAAAATCAGCAGCTCCGACAAGAGAAAAGTCAGCTGAAAAACGAGAATCAGCAGCTCCGACAAGAGAGAGATCAGTTGGACTACGAGAATCAGCAGCTCCGACAAGAGAACGGTCAGTTGAACGACGAGGATCAACAGTTCCAACAAGAGAAAGTTCAGTTGGACTACGAGAATCAGCAGCTCCGACAAGAGAAAGGTCAGTTGAACAACGAAAATCAGCAGCTCCGACAAGAGAAAGATCAGTTAGACAACGAGAATCAGCAGCTCCGACAAGAGAAAGGTCAGTTGAACGACGAGAATCAGCAGCTCCGACAAGAGAAAGGTCAGTTGAACAACGAGAATCAGCAGCTCCGACAAGAGAAAGATCAGTTGGACGACGAAACTCGGGAACTCCGACAAGAGAAAGGTCAGTTGGACAACGACAATCAGCTGCTTCGAGAGGAGAAAGGTCAGTTGAACAACGAAAATCAGCAGCTTCGAGAGGAGAAAGGTCAGTTGGACCACGAAAATCAGCAGCTCCGACATCAGAAAAGTCAGTTGCGCAACGAAAATCAGCTGCTTCGAGAGGAGAAAGGTCAGTTGAACAACGATAATCAGCAGCTCCGACAAGAGAAAAGTCAGTTGAACAACGAAAATCAGCTGCTTCGAGAGGAGAAAGGTCAGTTGAACAACGTAAATCAGCAGTTTCGAGATGAGAAAGGTCAGTTGGCTAACGATAATCAGCAGCTCCGACAAGAGAAAAGTCAGTTGAACAATGAAAATCAGCTGCTTCGAGAGGAGAAAGGTCAGTTGAACAACGAAAATCAGCAGTTTCGAGAAGAGAAAAGTCAGTTGGACCACGATAATCAGCAGCTCCGACAAGAGAAAAGTCAGTTGAACAATGAAAATCAGCTGCTTCGAGAGGAGAAAGGTCAGTTGAACAACGAAAATCAGCAGTTTCGAGAAGAGAAAAGTCAGTTGGACCACGATAATCAGCAGCTCCGACAAGAGAAAAGTCAGTTGAACAATGAAAATCAGCTGCTTCGAGAGGAGAAAGGTCAGTTGAACAACGAAAATCAGCAGTTTCGAGAAGAGAAAAGTCAGTTGGACCACGATAATCAGCAGCTCCGACAAGAGAAAAGTCAGTTGAACAATGAAAATCAGCTGCTTCGAGAGGAGAAAGGTCAGTTGAACAACGAAAATCAGCAGTTTCGAGAAGAGAAAAGTCAGTTGGACCACGATAATCAGCAGCTCCGACAAGAGAAAAGTCAGTTGAACAATGAAAATCAGCTGCTTCGAGAGGAGAAAGGTCAGTTGAACAACGAAAATCAGCAGTTTCGAGAAGAGAAAAGTCAGTTGGACCACGATAATCAGCAGCTCCGACAAGAGAAAAGTCAGTTGAACAATGAAAATCAGCTGCTTCGAGAGGAGAAAGGTCAGTTGAACAACGAAAATCAGCAGTTTCGAGAAGAGAAAAGTCAGTTGGACCACGATAATCAGCAGCTCCGACAAGAGAAAAGTCAGTTGAACAATGAAAATCAGCTGCTTCGAGAGGAGAAAGGTCAGTTGAACAACGAAAATCAGCAGCTTCGAGAAGAGAAAGGTCAGTTAGACAACGAAAGTCAGCATCTCCAACAAGAAAATGCTGAGATAATCAATGAAATGCAAAATATTCGACAAGAAAACAACAGCATGCGAATCGAAATTGAGCAGTACAGGGAAGACACCATGCCTAGCATTATTACAGAAAGTGGATCAGTAGTAGTTTCAAATGAGCTGCTTGGAAAAGGTGCTTGGGGCGCTGTGTGGGCAGGAGATTTTTACGGAACTAAAGTGGCAGTTAAAGAATATTACGAAATTATATTGTCTCCACATAACTTGCATTTATTTCAGCGTGAAATAAATATCGCGTCACATTGTCGGCATCCCAATTTACTACAGTTTATTTGTGCAACGAAAAATCATCAAAATCGCCTATTAATTGTAACAGAACTGATGGACAAGGCATTGCGTGCATTCGTTGAGCAACGTGCAAGGGAAAGATCGCGGTTGGAGTATCAGGAGATTAAATCAATTTCCGTAGACGTGGCACGTGGCTTGAACTACCTTCATTCAAAAAAGCCAAAACCAATTATCCATCGTGATGTTAGCAGTGCCAACGTATTGTTATCGATTGAAAATAGCGCAGTAAGAAGAGCAAAAATATCGGATTATGGTTCAGCTAATTTCATGGAAAAATGCAATACAGCGAATCCAGGAGCAGCCATTTACGCCGCACCTGAAGCTGATCGAGCAAAACAAGATCCTAAGGTAAATTTATTGGAATATATTACAAGGGTCAGTAAGAAAATAGCACAATTTTAAATTTCAAATAAAACAGTTTATATACATACATATACATATATATATAACCCTTGGGGGGGATAATATAGCCCTGCGAAGTTTTGCCGTTTTTCAGTAATTTTGTATTAACGTCCGTGACGTCAATAATCTGCACTAAAAAATCACTTAGACTTCAACGTCCTTCCCCCCAAAATGGGCACATAATTGTTGCCCACAAGTATTTCTCTGGCCCCGCAAATATCTATTTAATGCACACTTGTGGTTATTAAATCGCAATCTGAACGGAGTTATAATATTCCCTTCATATTGCAACCCACAGCATTTAAAACTAGTAAAATACACTAGATCCCCCCGAGTCACATTCGAAGCGATGGTTAATGCAGAAAGACCGCCCCTTAACATGGCTTTTAAAGGTAGCACCAATAATGACATTGTCACAGTTTTTGTATTTTCTTTTCGCACTTAAACATCCCTAGCCTGCGTAGCAGGCGGCATTCGCGGGCACGAGAGAATGGGAAGCTTGAAATACCGCCTGCCCAAAAACTACACATTCTGAGTTCTCCCCGGAAGCTGGGTGCCGGAGTATTCTGATTGGTAGCCTGCGTAGCAGGCGGTATTTGATTGGTCAGAATGTTGATTTTGAATTTTTGATTGACAGGAGTACAGAATTAGAATAATTAGTGCTAATTTTAGAAGTTACTGTTGCCGTATTTATAATATAAACTATTTTTATTTTCGTAATTGTACCGATATATCGAGTGGTGGCATACACTAACCAAAAGATAACGAATGTATTCATTGAGAATTAAACGTTGAATTCTTTAATCTTTATCTGGAATCGGAAATCGCTTCGTCTTGAAGAATGAACAACGAATATCAATCCAACATTTGTTGCTTGAAGATGTGATACCGTGATAAAAGTGCAGATTTGAAGATACAGGCTCGTAAATGACACTCTAAGTCGTGTTTTTGATAGCGATTGGACCAAGCCTATTACAAAGTTACGTCTGAAGGGGCCGAAGTTGTGTTCGGCGAAAGGTATGGCTCGTCTATATTTTTGTTCAGACAATTGCATAATTTGATAATACACGAACTCGCTTGACTTTCAAAGCTCATAAATCGCTATAATGTTGACATCGACTAAAACTATCGCTATGAATGAGGACATATTGTTACACTGAATCGAACGTGGTATTTTTGTCTTCATAGCATTGAATGAACCGAAGATATGAAACGTCAAAGTCGTATATTTGAACTGGTGTAAATACGTGATTTGACAAATAATTAAAATAAATACATTACTGTAAGATGGGCGGGACCATGCGGTGGGCGGAACTCAGAATGTGTAGTTTTTGGGCAGGCGGTATTTCTAGCTTCTACCGCCTGCTACGCAGGCTAAAACATCCCTATACGACCGTTTCCTTTTCCCTTCTCAATGAACCTATTCCCTAATGAACAAAATTTTGATCTAGACAAGTCAAGACCGTTTTCTGAAAAAAGGTATCAATTTCCCGTGTGTAATACAAAATGACTGAAAAACGGCAAACTTCGCAGGGCTGTATTATCCGCATTTTACAACATTTCGCAACGAAGCTTCGGGATATTACTAATTTTGTGACGCTCTTTCAAGCCATGATAAAAGTTTTCTCTAGACTTGTCTAGATCAATTTTGTTTTCATTAGGTAATAGGTCCATTTAGAACGAACTAAGTGGTCTTTAAGGTTTTTAGACCGGCGAAAACACACCTTTGGTGGTTCCGGCATAATATTAAAAACCTTTCATACCAACTCACAATTACTTCTTATTCCCTAAAGATAATTATTATAAAGAACCATCAATGCAGGATGATAATCTATCGCGAAACAGTTCCTATTACTATTCTTAACCCCTTCTTTCTGCATTATCAAATTATTCCTGTCGACTTCTCTCACTCTGCCAAACTGATCATCAACAAAATTGGAATTATAACCCCTCTTCACCAAAAAACCTTTTAGTTCTTTTAGTTTTTCCTCAAAAGCATTTTTCGAATTACAAATTGATTTCGATTTCATCGCAAACCTTGACTGTAAGGAATCGCTCTCTTGACATGAAGAGGGTAACAAGATTTTAAAAATTCATTAATAATTGACGAAAATACAAAAAGAAATAAATGTTTAATCAATGTTTGTAATTCGGATAAAGATTTGTCCTGATTTCCATAAACTTCAGCTTTGATTTTCTTGGCTTAGACAATGTTTATTTTTAAAATTACTTCGCCAATAAGATAGGTAATTTTTTAAGTACGATAAAACATTCGCACCCGATTTGTATCTGATAGAAAAATTCTCTTCTTCGGCTCGAGTTTGTATACCAGATACAGATCCGCTCCTCATGCTTTATCTAATACTTAAAATTCAAATACTGATGTGCACTAGTAGGCTTAGAATACACATCAGTATGAAAAGCACCATTAACTTTATTACTGCCGTTCCAATTGAAGTGTTCTCAAATATTGATTCAATACATTACCTCGGGCTGACTAATTCATACGAATTCAAATTTCGTTTCCTCCTGTGCGTTTCCTATTGGTCAATCGGTTCTGTAACGAAATCTAATTGGCTCGTTTAAAAGTAACAGGAAGTTGGTCAATTTTCTATCAAATGAATTGGTCAGCCCGAGGTAATGTATTGAATCAATATTTGAGGAACACTTCAATTGGAACGACAGTAATCCCATAATCAAGAACAGCAATTTCCTTTCGACTAATTTCCGAAGTAAACTTAATATTCTCATGAAATGAATTCAATTTACTGAGGAAATTGTTCAGTTCCCCCTCCCTGTGAAGCCATATCATGAAAACATCGTCCAAAAAACTCATATTTTCATCAAAATAAAAAAAATTTTTCCAAAACCAATTTCGCAAGTGAGACCAAACCATCGACTGGCAAGTCCTCTTCAGCCTGATTCATTGCTAATCTAAGAGCTTCAAGACCTTCGCAGTGTGAAGCATATGAGGATACAATCCCACTACATCCATAGTGCGCAAAATTACAGTCGATGGAATATGATCTAAGTCTTCCAAACGTTGCAAAAAATGTGTATTATCCTTTATTACAGACGGTACACCTTCCATCAATGGTTGAATATGAAAATCCAGAAACGCCGACACTCGTTCTGTAGACGTACCAAATATAAATATTAAAATTTACCCAAGAAGGGATTAAGAAGAAGGGGTCAATGAATACTTCAATGTGATTAGAAGCGAACTTTCTCTAAGCCTCATTTAAATGTAATAATTTTCTTTTTAGTAACGACAGAAGGCTTTTTTATAACAAATTTAATAAATTGTAACAACGTTTCGGAGTTTACTCCATTATCAGGTTACATTTATATGCACTCAGATTGTGCGTATAAATGTAACCTGATGATGGAATAAACTCCGAAACGTTATTACAATTTATTAAATTTGTTAAAAAAAAAGCCTTGTGGTCGTTACTAAAAAGAAAAGGTCAATGAATAGTTATATAGAAACAGGATAAGAATAGTTATAGGAACTGTTTTGTGATAGATTATCATCCAGCATTGAGGGTTCTTTAAAATATATTTAGGGAATTACAAGTAATTGTGAGTTGGTCTGAAAGGTTTTTAAGTCTTATGCCGGAACCACCAATGGCGTGTTTTCGTCGGTCTAAAAACCTTAAAGATCAATTAGTTCGTTCTAAATTGTGAAGGGAAGAGGAAACGGTCGTAGGGATGTTTAAGTGCGGAAAGAAGAAATATACAATGTGTGACAATGACTTTATTGGTGCTACCTTTAAAAGCCATGTTGAGGGGCGGTTTTTCTGAATTAACCATCACTTCGATTGCAACTCGGAGGGTATAGTGTATTTGATTATTTAGCAAATGCAGTGGGTTACAATATGTATGGAATACTATAACACCGTTCAGATTGCGATTTAATAACAAATAGATATGGGCGGGGGCAGAGAAATATTTGTGGGCAACAATTGTATGCCCATTCTTGGGGGGAGGGACATTCAGATCTAAATTATTACGTCACAGACGTTAATTAATAGAGAGTTTGGCAAATACAAGGGCAACGGCAACGGCAATATGGTCATTAACAATAGCATTAATCCTCAAAGACAAAGGCGAATGTAAATTACATGGTCTTAAGCGTTGTGCAATGCCGTAGTTGTTGAAACTAATATAATACGTGATTTGCATCATTTTCACGGTGCATGACTACGGCAACAGTTGATTCGTTCGATGTTATTTGAGAGTTTTATTGAATTCGCGGACAATTTTTACTTAAGGGTACGTTTGAAAGAAACAGGAATACTTAAAGAGGCAAATTAAGTGTAGTAACGTATAATTTGGCTCAAATACAACAATATAAGCAATTATATTTTCCCCGTTGCAGTTGTCGTTGCCGTTCTAGTTTGCCAAACTCTCTAATAACCCCACTGAGACGGAGATCTTTTGGATTGAGAAACTTAATAGTTATGGGCCAGGTGGGCTTAATTTAAGGAAGAGGTTTAACTAATTTATGTGTATGCAAATGTTAGAGTATTTAAGCGAGAGACGGAGAAGATATAACGTTTTTCTGAAGAATATTACAAGTTTTGTGACGTATAGTAAAGAGAGTGCTCAATACATAACATTTCGTAGAGCGAATGTAGCCTAATTACTATTCTTACTTAAAATGTTTTTATCTCTACTCCGAGTTTCACGCATTACTGCGATCATCAGGAGACATTATTCTTCAATACCTTTGGTTTTTCCTTGCTTGATGACGTGACTGTGTGCGCGCGCAAAGATTGTTGGTGTTTGCTTTCACGCGCGGAGACCACATTTCCCGCTAAAAATTGTTTCTGGTGTAGGCACTTCGAGAAGATTTCAGATCGTTTGTTTAGCAGATATTTGTCGCGATATTTCAGAATCAGCAGCTTTTCATTAATGTATAGAAGCTCCTGATTCTGAAATTTCGGGCATGTGCTAAAACCTGGACTAGTCCATCGTCCAGTCCATCGTCCAGTCCATCGTCCAGTCCATCGTCCAGTCCATCGTCCAGTCCATCTTCCAGTTTATCTTCCAGTCCATCGTCCAGTCTATCGTCCAGTCCATCGTCCAGTCCATCGTCCAGTCTATCGTCCAGTCCATTGTCCAGTCCATCGTCCAGTCCATCTTCCAGTCCACCTTCCAGTCCATCGTCCAGTCTATCGTCCAGTCCATCTTCCAGTCCATCGTCCAGTCCAGTCCATCGTCCAGTCCATCGTCCAGTCCATCGTCCAGCCAATCGTCCAGTACATCGTCCAGGTTTTGGCACATACCGAAATTTCGCGACAAAAATCTGCTGAACAAATGATCTGAAATCTTCTCGAAGTGCGTGCACCAGAAATCATTTTTAGCTGGAAATGTGGTCTGCGCGCTTGAAAGCAAACATCAACAATCTTCGCGCGCGCGCACAGTCACGTCATCAAGCAAGGAAAAACCAACAGTATTTAAGAACGTCTCCTGATGATCGCAGTAATACGTGAAACTCGGAGTAGAGACAAAAATCATTTTAAGTAAGACAAGAAGGACACAATGCCTCTATTAACAACGCTACAATCTTAGAGAAAAGAGTACACAATTTAGAAAAACGAACGTTCCTCGAGTCGATGCATTAAATATTAGACAATAAAACAATTAACGAACACAAAGAATTCTCACGCATGTATTTATCGCTGACGATCGCATGTATTTATATAATGACGATATTTAAAACCTTGTACTATCCGAACTGCTCTTAGTACTCTGATGAAGGTTGTAGTTAGCAACCGAGAATTTAGAACTGTTTTAGTCCTTTTTTTTGTACAAATTCTAGTATATTAAAAATAATTTTAGAACAGCTTTAACTCCAAAACTATCATGTATTCCACGTACTGGTCGCTCCAACAGCATATATATATATATATATATATATATATATATATATATATATATATATATATATATATATATATATATATATATATATATATATATATAGTTTTTCGTTTTACCTCAAAAAACCACAACAGTCTGTTTCATCCGTATAGGAATCATCCGTATAGGATGATTCCTATACGGATGAAACAGACTGTTGTGGTTTTTTGAGGTAAAACGAAAAACTATATTACGCTCTATCTATATGGTATTGAGCACTGTTTGTGTTTCGTAAACCAAAATCTTAAACTATATATATATATATATATATATATATATATATATATATATATATATATATATATATATATATATATATATATATATATATATATATATAGTTAATCAACTCAACACATAAGGTTTTGACTTTATTGTCTTCATCAAATATAATCCTACTTTACAGGCGAACCCAATTTATACCCTCCCAATTTTACTAATTATGCATAATATGTATATAAGTGATTTACCATAGATGATTAACTTATATACCTGTATGGCTTTTCCGTTATGGCTCACATGACAGTAATGTAGGAAAATATTATTTTCCATTTATCAACTTTTGTATGTATATTTAAACATATTCACAGACATACAACACACAAAGGTAAAAATCAAATACCTTGGCAAGTTTCTTTGATAGTTTGATAGATTTGTGCCAGACATCTAGTGCATGAAAAAGATCGCCAAACTCTTTGAGATGCTTCTCTGGCAAATTAAAAAAAATAATACATATATTATTTGAGATAAAAAGTACATTATCTGCTTTATCTTTATGATATTGCGCACTCTTTGGCATTTCGTGAACCAAAACACTCCTATATAGAGTGCTTCATATAAAAAAGAGTAGATATGTAGTTTTATACCTCAGTTCTATACCACAACAGCCTGAAGCCAAGAGGAATCATCAGGTGGCAGCTTCTGATGATTCCTCTTGGATGAAACAGGCTGTTGTGTTATTGTTCACTTGGTAATATGCAGCGATGTTTTGCTAATTTTAGAAGTGGGGGGACGGTCTTGAAAATCAAATGGGCGTGGTCACTCGATTGGGCGTGGCTTTATGCATAGTCACAGTGAACAAGTACATACGCAATAGCTTAATATTTGGAGTGGATTTATTACAACATGTACCTAACAAACACCTAGCTTGCACGTGGTAGATGTCTAAAAGCAAATAAAACCACGTTGACTTTCGAATTTCGATGATGCAATTAGTGCTATGCGAGTAATTCGGCAAACTGGTAACTTTGCAAGTTGAATATGACGTTTCCGCGAGTAACTAAATAAGCTTAGATGATAGCTATACTTTTATCCTATCCATTCAATCATGTTAATATTCTTATTGAATAATTTTATGTCCCCATTGATCATTTTATTGTTCATTTGAATGTTCAATTTCGCGATTGCGCGAGAGACGTTAACTGCGCTTATGACTGGTAAGTACTTATCTAAGCGGACGTCAATTATCAGACTCTCGTATTTTTGTGCTAGTCTGCTAGAATTTTATGCAAGTATATCAAGTTTCAGGGACATTAAAATAGTGACACAATTACGTTCTGAAATATGTCTACGTAGGACGCTGAGCAATTATTGCCAAAAATAACACGTATGTAGAACAAGTGATGCCAAAGTTATTTGGATGGTGTCAAGCGGTGTTCACTGAACTTCACTCATATTTAATCCCTGCCAGGGGGAACGGCGTTCCCCCACGTTTTATTTTGGTAGGGGGGACGCCGTTCCCCTGGTAAAAAAGGTGGGGGACGGCGTTCCCCCGCGTTCCCCCTGGAAAACATCACTGGTAATATGATAAGGAGAATATACAAAACAAGTGAAACTTCGAGTTTCACTTGTTTTGTATTTTGTTAAAAATATACTCATTGGTTCTAAACATTTAGACTATATATATATATATATATATATATATATATATATAAATATATATATATATATATATATATATATATATATATATATATATATATATATATATATATATATATAATAGTTTTGTAAATCAGTATTCTTGATAATAACATTAATTATGAACTTTATAGACTGCAAATCTTTTCCCGAATGACCCACTAATATATCTGTCAAATCTAAATGAAAATGCCATAACATTGAGATGTGTTACCTTTCACCTTTCGAACCAATGCAATAACTGCAGCTGAAGCATCTGTAACCATTTCAGAAACAACAATTTCACCAACCATTCTTTCAAGTATTTTCCTCAAACCGAAGACTTCCATATTTGTTGAGATACCTCCTGTTTGACGTTTGTCCACCACTTCTACGTCAACAATAACATCAAGATGCTGCTCCATCAAAGCATACATGCAGTACTTTGAACTATGTCCTGGGGAATCATTCCGCCCATCACCACACAAGACAACAGATTCACTGGACAAAATATCCCACAATTCATCCTTCATTTGCTCCCAATATCTCTTAACCTCAGGAATAACAAAATGTGTTTGCATCCTGTTATAAGTTGCCTTTGATACTAGTCCAAGCCCCAAAAATCGACAAAATAAGGCCAATTTGTCATAATTGTTTCCAGAGATGAAAATGCCAGCTGCCATCAACAACGTATTTGTATGTACATTTTGACCATTTTTCTGACACAGTACTTTGGAAGATGTCCAACATCCAAGATGACCTTCAGAACACTTCCATGATATTGTCAAAACACCACCTTCCATTTTAGTATTTTCCACTTGACTTGTTCCCGAACAAGATAACCATTGGCAACCACTGTTAAATACTTTCAATAACAAAGGCACATCAACGACAACACAATCTCTCCGAAAATGCTCACTGCACATTTTGTAATGGTTACCTAAACCAGCCAGGACATCAAATGCATTCTGCATTTCGTCTGCCAGCCTTTCATTTCTTTCTTGAAGTGATTCAGCTTTTTGAGGCTTGTCGTTATCATCTTCTAAACTACTAACATCCATATCTTCTTCTCCTCTTGTAATATTAAGAGTTGTGTCAAGCATGTCATCTTCCGTTGAACTTAATGTTGCTTCAGGATCACACTCTTCATCTTCTATGGCACTTAGTGTTGCTTCAGGATCATACTCTTCTGCAAATCTATAAAACAGACAATATTTGAATATCAAACAAACAAAAGGTTTATAAGAGTACTGTACATAATACCAAATGGAGAGGTGTTCATTGTTACTATAAATATGGGAAATGAAGGTCATGTTCACAATCAGTACAGTAGAAACTAGGAAGTGGATTTCAGTGAAGATGTTACAAGTGATCTGATAGTTCTCTCTTACCCTTGAACATCATAAATGCACTGGCCATCTTCAGATCCACTATCATATTCACTTGAATCACAGGAACGATTAATAAAAAATTTACATGTAAAAGTGAATAAATATTTGGGAAAAGGTAAAAGAAAATTTTTAGAATCCAGTAGAGGATGATACGAAATGAGGAATCCTTTTTGGTTAATAAAATGTACTAGAACATCCCAAAGGGGGAATGGGAAAGTGTTGGGAAGTGTGGATTTTTTTATCAGATGACTCATTGCATACTATTTGATTTGCCATCAAAACTCAAAAGATGCTGCTACTTATTAACTAAATTGTGAATACAACTATGCAAGTAATAATTACCTTGTATCATGATCTGATTCCGAACTTGTGCTATCACTCTCGAATGAAGGGTCTTCATGGTATAATCCAAATTGAGGATGGACAGATATGGAAAGACTCTCAATTCTGCTCACGTCAAGACTAGCAGATATAGGTGCAACATCCATGGCTCTGTTTGGAAAAGTAAATTACATTAACCCTGATTTCTAGTAAACCTGGTTTCATTTTGGTAGTAGCTCTCATGACATGAGCACGTCCAACTATGTGAAATAGCCAAAATGAGCCAAACGATAATAAAGAACAAAATAGATAAGATACAATATACAGTATACCAGTTGCTATATAACTCAAGACTTTGTATGGAACCGGGTTGGCCTTCTTAGTCAGGAGACAGCCTGGTAAACGAGATCGCAGTATAGGAAAACTACAGTAGGGCCACTCAGCGTAAAGAAGTGTGCACATTGTTTACTGGCTGCCAACCTAATTTACATATTGGTAGACAACGGAAGCAGTTCACTGTAAAATTGTATTACAGAGTAATGATTTTGGCCGTGTAAGACACCTGGGACCTAGCTTAAATAATTCCCACTTTTCTCTCCTAAGTAGCGCTACTGGTCGTCTCCCTATACTGTGGTGAGATCTCACTGTGCAGTTATTTTTATAGTAAAAATTACCATTTGAAAGAGGTGAGATGTCACTTGCCAGAATAAAGATTTCTCTATCTAAACACGAACAAACAAGCTGGCCCGGTTGCAGGGATGACAGTTCAAAGATGCCTCTGCAAGCTATTTTTAACTGTCAAAAATTTTTTTCCTGGCAAGCAGTATAAAAGTTTCTCATATAAACAGAAGAGACATTTATCCTGCTTACCTGACGGTCGGCCTGGCTTCGATATAAACAGCCCCTTATTGGCTTATTCTGTTATTCAAGGTTAAGGAAAAACACATTAATAATGTGACATCATGTTCAGCAACAAGGCACTACTATTAAAGCATTTAAAGGATAATATCCACCGTATTTCTTACGTTCTATTATTTTCAACACTCACATGTCATTGTCAGTCTCATGGACAATGGGTGACAAACACAAATTTCGATCAGGTTTGCCTTTACCAACAGGTGTTGAAGACAGAACATATGGCAAGGGTCGATCTGAAGTGTAATATACAAAATATATGATCATAATTTATAGGACGTAGATCACAAATCATTTTAAAATATAAAGAAATTAATTGCATTATTAAATAACAAATATGTAGTATTTACCATCGCCTGGAGATTCCATTGATTGCAAAGGCTCGTCTTCGCAAAAATTCAGAAGCAAGTGCCGTGAAAAATTACTATGTGTCTTCGTTGAGAATCCAATAGAATCTTTTCTCGTAATCCACATCTCATGTACGTGCTTCTTTAATTTTATGCGCACAAATCCTATCTCATCTCTTGGTCTTCCACGCTTTGGCGGCGATGCACCAGACGAAGACATGATCGGTATTATTCTTTTATTATATACATATTATAAACACCGTCACACTATAGACTTCAATTTGTCGTTTATTACGAATAAATATTATGAAATGCTTAACAGTATGTCAAGCCATATATTCACAGCCCAGAAATTCAGGAATAATGAATAATTTATGATGAAAGTTGTTCGGATATTCGAGGATTTAGTCACTCAACTCCTATAAATATACGAAAGCAGCCATTTTCAGGGCACCATAAAATGGCCGACAAGCTGTGATCAGGCGCGCAAAGCATTACCCTGAGACTCATTCCTTAAAATGTATATATTCTCACTTGGATTACAAACCCTAACATCCTAATATTAATTCCACCAAGTGAAGTGCAAGCACTAAGTTCGGAAATTTCAACCCGGTAAACAGGGCTGAGTTCAAACCCGGGGTTGAAAATGCTCCATGTAATCGGCCCCTAAATGTATTATATTTTTATTATGCAAATATAATTTCACCATATTTATCTTTCAAATTGTGCTTTTAATGTTTCATGGAGACTGATATTTGAATCTTATCTAAAGTATTTGGAATGGCTTATCATAGGCTTAGTCGCAAAATATGTAGAAAGCGGATATAATATCGTTGATTTTGTGTAAACACTTTATAAAACAGTCTCCATCGTCATATACAAGCGGCTGCTAGTTATAAATACTTTTTAGTCTGCCAAGACCACTGGATGCTATTTCTAAATATTATTTAGATCTACTAGATCAGTGCTGGTATGTATATTGTATATTAAGTCATAATAGTAAAGTCAAAATGAAAATTTCGATTTATAGCATACGCCATCTTGAAAACATTACTCGGCAGGCGCTCTCGCCTGCAACCCGCATTTTCGGAATCTGCCGGCCCGAAATGCTCCCTAAGAGCCTGCCGAGGAGGTAGCACTGGGGCAGTATTATACATTTAAGAACTTAAATTATTCAAAAACTAAATAAATATGTGTTCAATGTCAATGATTATTGCTATATTCTACAAGATTTCTAATAACTTGTTGCCAATGATCCATGTTTCCTCTTAGTATCTTACAGTCTTTGCTTTATATTAAAAGTTAAATACTATGAATGATTGGAAAGTGTTCCTTTTATTGATAAAGAGTTTCCCATTAAAAGAGAAATTATTCCCAATTATTCCTTTCCCTTTTAGCGTGTGCTCTCCCCCTTGACGAGTAAAATCGTCTGGCGTTAGACAGAGTAAAATAGTAAAGTAAGGTGCATCCGGGCACAATGCAACTCAATGGGTTAACTGGATCGTCTGGTGTTAGACAGAGTAAAATAATAAAGTAGGGCGCAACATGACTCAATGGGTTAACAAGTAAAATTGTCTAGCTTTACAGTACATCTTCCAAGGGGGGATGGATTTGGGGAACGAAAGGCACACTGGTTACGTGGAGCATTGCTGCTGGTCTCCGGGTACTAGGGAAATCCTCCTACCCCTGGAGCTACCCTGGCAAGTAAAATTATTTTAATATCCTATTATAGCAACTGCCATGCAAGTGTTTGCATGGAAAGTTTTGAACTTGTCTTGCTTATTGGGATAACCCAGGTAGTAGGGTAACTCCCTCAGAGGGTACAGCATCTCTATTACTCGAGATTAATTATATAAACATTGCCTTAGGCTATGTAAAATTATTAGGTATTCAAATAAGATCAAATAGTCTCAGGTTTTCCTCAATCAGGTGAACAAATTAACATAGTTGTGAGATTCTGCATCTGATTCATTGTAATGAATAATGTAGTTCAACAGGAATGATTGGCAATCTAGAAAAGCAAAAAAAATAAAAGAAATAAATAGATTAGATTATTAAACATATACAGTCACTTTGCATGTCTGAGAAATTGACCTTTGAGAGCCAAAAAAAGGTTGTCATTGCCCAATAACCAATGCACTAATCAAGGGGAATCACTATAAAGTATAATTTGACCAATCCCCCACCATTGGGTCAACATAAAAGTTAAATAAAGTCTATATGAGTACTTTAGAGTACTGTGGCTCCATGTCCATGACTCCATCAGTCCATGTTGAATGTTGATGTTCACTTTTGTATCTGAATGCTGTTTAATATGCAACATTTAAATTAACGACAACCCTTTGATACAACATTGTACACAAAAATATATTGATAACTTGATATAAATGAACTAGAGAAAAAAGATTGCCAGAAATTCTCACTCTTTCGGGTGTCTTTTCTCATTTTTCGCTTTTAAAAATGGTATTCGTTTAATTCCCTTTTGCTAAGAAGAGGTAGTGTGCCATTTATTTGCAAAATTCGTGCAGAAAATGAAGATTGATCGGTTACTGCGCGTAAAATCGCTGTTTTACTGCCAAAATTTTGCATTTCCCTATCTTTTCCTGATAAAAAATGTGCATGACACTTGCCAGATAATCGCGCGTGCGCATTAAAAAGTGGGGACATGATTTGCCTCGAGTTCCGCATTTGTATATCTTTAATCTGTGGCTTGGTAGCGTTGATATCCGTTGTACTGCTTGCGTGACTGAGTTCGCTTGCGAGATTAAGCTTGCGCACGTTCAAACTTTCCGGCCAAGAATCGTTTTTGGTGAACGCACTTGAGAACAACTCGCGTCTCCTATTCAGCACGTTTGACTTATCCGCTTTTAGAGTTTTCGAGAGCTATTACACCCGTTTTCAAAATTACGCGACCTCCCTGAAAAATACTCTTACTTCAAATATCAGTTTTATGTCACAAAAACTGCTAAAAATAGCAAACATAAACAAACTGTCAAAAGACATTTTAAACCGTATTTAATACCAAAACTGAACAAAAATGAGTTAGATAACTTAGATATACAAACTAAAGTACAATACAAACCATCACAACAGAAATATGTGCCGTGAATAACTTTTAAAGTTTGAAAAATAACAATTTATCCCGGAATCTAGCTGTCAGTATAAAACACGCGCGCTAGACTATAACGCTGATGTTATGATTTTGTTTGTGCTTAAATTTTGTAATAATTCTCACTAAAATATCTTGAAAATCATTGTAAGCTTGTTCATATAAAGCATATACAAAGCATATACATCGACAAGGAACCGCAAAACTCAAAGTTTAAACTTCGTGACAGAATTACATAAAACTGACATGTCAACTCTAGCATTTTCGTTCTTGGTCGCGTAATTTTGAAAACGGGTGTAAAGTCGATTTCGAATTCGATCTCCTCGTCTTTAATTCCCTTTAAAATGGACTTGT